CATTCATGTACAGGTTTTTTAAATCAGCCTATGCTGGTGATTCTAAGCCAGACTGCTCCCATCAACCTGCTCCCTGCCACACTCGTGGCCGACCCCATTCTCAGCATTGCTGCTGGTTCTGGAGTTTGGCTGGTCTTCCCTGGATTGGAGGGTGTAGAGAGAGGCGAGGGCAAGCTGACCTTTCTGCCAATCAGAAAACTTGCACTAATCGTTGATCAGACTTCTGTCTGCTCCCTTTTCCTTCTGTTGACTAATGCTCCTTATTTTCTGATCCACCATTCAGAGGGAACTACTTTGCTTGACTTAATGTACCCCAGCCATCTCGTGGATTAAAAATCAGTCTATGGATAAGCCATCATTGGGCCAGGTGCTCATGCCAATGCAATTCATAGCCGTTCCTGGGCAAAGAACATCTACTTTCCCAAAATATGAGGCGGGGTCAGTTCATCTGTGGGCTGTGCATTTTCTTGTTTGTGATTTCTGGTAACAGGAGGTGCTGCGTGGGCCATGACTGCCATGTCTGGTATGCGGAGGAGTCTCTGGGTAGACTAGATCCCCATCTTCCCCACAAAAATAGCAAAAATCAATAAAACGCAAAATGTTGACTGCCGGGAGCTGAACCGGCCTCTCTGGATGGCAAATCACGGCAAGGAAGTGGCAATGTTTGCAGCTCCTGTCATGAGAAATGAAAACTGGGATCTCCTTCTGCTACCATTGGCTCATGTTGGGTATAAGCCTGCTGGTATTGACCAGGCCTCACAAGATTCCATATCAGACCCATATTCTGAATACAGATACCTCATAAGAAAAAGCGTATTCCTGCCTTTACAAAAGAGACTTTGGATGAAAGCTCTATGGGCAATTGTCAAAAGGCTCTTCCTATGGGCCTTGAAGACCCAAGGCTTAGATAATAAAGGGGGTTAAGAACACAAGAGTTACAACTGAACCTGGCCCCAAGACAAAGAGCCTATTTTGGGGTTAAGAGCGGAACACAGCTACTACATATATCTTTGCTAATTGGTAAAGCATAGCAGTCCCTTCCTCAAGGCCTGCATTCACAAACACCCTCCCTTACACTGGCAACTGGGATGAGGATAGATAAAATAGCTAAAACATAAACCCAGGTGCCAAGATGGACACATTTAGGGCCCCCATGTTAATTTCCACAAATAAACCAATTCAGAAACATTTATCTCCTTGAGAGCCAGACAGAATAACTCCTAGCTTATCTATATACAATTTAACTTGTATGTTATGCTGTTTTTCACTAAGAACATTCTGTTATTTCCTTGGTCGAAATAATTCTGCAATTGATATCATAAAAGGCCTCCCATTGTAAGAATTTCCTTTCTCTGACTTCATGTTGTTGCTGAACTTTTAAATAAAAACCCCAAAACCGACAGGACAGAGATGCCTGCCTGGTAATCAGAAAGAAATTCGGGGCACGCTCGCGCTCGCTCTGTCTCTCTCTCTCTCTCTCTCTCTCTCTCTCTCTCTCGCCGACACCGTCCATCCTTCAGGGACCCCTGGACCTGCTGGAGCCGGCCTCTGGCAGTTGACTTTTTTCATTAATGTTCTTTCAGGTGGTAAAATGAACTCCCAAGACAATAAAATGTAAAATGATCTGTCAACTAGGGAAACGTTAGGTGATCAATACCAAAGAAAGGAATACTTAGTTTTAGAAAAGTTGATTTGTAGCCCTTCTTTCTTTTAATAAAGAGAGTACAGGTTTGGTTTACTGATAAGGTCCTTCTGAGCCCAAGAGAATAAAAACATAATATATAAAAATGCTTTATGTCCCACTGTTTGTAACTGACAACAATAAAAAAAAAAGTTCTCAGATCCGTTAATGTCTGATTTTTTAAGTGCCTAGGAAACACTTCTTCCTCTACTGCAGAGGTTGGTGAGCTCAGCCTGCCCGGGCTTTGTAAACAGTTTCATGGGACCACGGTCACATCCATTCATTTCCACATGGTCCGTGGCTGCTTTCATACTACGTCGGCATGCTTGAACAGTTACAAGAGGCCTGCGAAGTCTCAAAGATTTAACTTTTTCCCTTTACAGAGCAAAGTTTGCTTTGATTGTTAAGAAGCCATTATTCTAACCCTGATCATTTTGGGGGTGGTGTTCTGCAAGAGCGTGAGCTTTCAAAGCCTACGTTAGCGCATGCAGCTTAACCCAAATTCCTAGCCTACAAAATTAAAGGTCAGTACACATCAAAATCTAATCATTTCCATGCAGACTTTTCTCCATAAGGTATTATAGGGGATGAAGGCAAGTCGACAGCACTTTCATTAAGTAATAAAACTGGCTCCTGTAAAATGGTGCCCTGAGAAACCCAGACTGAAATATCTTAAGGTAGAACCTGGTGTTCATTAAAAAAAAAAATCCTAAAAAGATGAAGCGTTCAGTAAAATGAAAAGTTATGTATTTCGGCGTAAAGAAAGTCGAATAGGCATTACTGGATAAGCCCGAGCATCAAATCCCGTGACGTGGTAAGGCAGGGCTGCAAAGAAACCTCCCCATGTAGTCTACACCTTTATAGGACCCCAACATGGGGGTAGTTGCCCATGTTTTGCCCTATAGGGAAGATACGTGCCATACCAGTGGCACTGCAAGTCTGTTCAAAGGAGTCCCAGTTTTGTCCCTGAGATCTTTAGAAACCACTTTGCAAACCCACATTCTTCATGAAGCAATGGGGGTCACTTCTAAATAATCCCAGATTGTCAATATACCCTGCATGTCCAAGGATGGCGTAGAGTGACATTAAGTGGACCTTCAGTGAGAATTACAGGGTTTGCAACTAGACAGGGTGGACTAGAATCTTCTGGATCACTTAAGTTCACGTATATTGATGATGGCCACCTAAATCTTGTAAGAGCTGAATGTTTAAGATCCTTTTATAGGGAATTTCACAAATATGCAAACCTCAATTTTACTGAATCTTTCTGGCCACAAAAATAGCTCCACCTTCTGGTTTTTAAAACAAATTGCTCTTGGGTAGATTTTAACACATAGGGTGAAATTTTCAGTTCATCTCTTAAACTTTGCTTCGATTTCTGCTATGTGAAAATCCTACCTTCTTTGTCATTAAAAGTCAGAAATAAATAAAAATACTTAAAAAAATTAAAAAAAATAAAATGAAAGTCAGAGTGTTCTCCCACCTTTGAGAAACGTATCGGGGGGCACCTGGGTAGCTCAGTTAAGCATCCAACTCTTCATTTCGGCTCAGGTCATGATCTCCTGGTTCATAGGATCGAACCCCACGGTGGGCTCTGTGCTGCTTGGGATTCTCTTTTCCTGTCCCTCTCTCACTCTGCCCCTCTCCCCTGCTTGTGCTCTTTCTTTCAAACTAAATATTTTTAAAAAACTTTTTTTTACTCAAACTTTGAAAATATAATCTTCACTATAGTAACATTACTTTAAAAATGTGATGATGACTGTAGGTGGTGAAATGCTTTCAATGACTCATAATTAGATAACATCCAGCTTGGGAAGAAGAGTAAAAAAAGTACTTTTTACTAGAGAAAATGTAATGAGATGTTGCCATCAACTTAGGGCAGCATACTAGCACTTTGCAAACATAAAATTGCAGCTTTACAAAAATCCGAGTTAGTACTTACATTTGAATACCCTAATTTTACATACTTCAAGTCTTTAATTAAAAAAAAAAACAGCAACAACTCAATTGCAAGTTGACAAACAGGACAAAATTCCTGGCCAAAAATAGTCATTAAAAGCTAACGCATAGTTACAAAGTGTATTTTACGTTGACTTTTTAAAAGTGAAATTTTGTGTTAAAATCATAAAATAAAAGGCCTAAAATAGAAGCTATTAATTATGTTGTAACGTTGAATACTGGGTTTGGGTTGCTATTTTACTGGTTATTTATTCTGTATGCTGTATCTATGTGGTCTGACATTCCTTTTCCTTATTCCTATTGAGAATTTCTTTTTTTTTTTCAATTTTTTATATAGTTTATTTATTTTTGAGACAGAGCACGAGTGGGGGAGGGGCAGAGAGAGAGGGAGACACAGAATCTGAAACAGGCTCCAGGCTCTGAGCTGTCAGCAGAGAACCCGATGCGGGGCTTGAACCCACGAACTGTGACATCATGAACTGAGCCGATGTCAGACGCTTAACCGACTGAGACACCCAGGTGCTCCTCCTATCGAGAATTTCTTAGAGTGAGCACAATGCCATTTCTTTAACTATTCAATGATCCTGCAAGTAGCCAAAGTACAGCACAGGAAGATAATCTTTATTATATTGTAAATAAAAACAGAGCAGATAGCAAGTTCACGAGGTATATTTGATTATTATTCCTTTAAAATCGGGCCTCAATAACAATAATCAAAAGCAAGCCTTCACCGCACAGATATTTTGGTCACTATTATAATCTTCAAGGGCACAAAAGCCAGCAGCGCAAAGTAAAATAATGGTAACGGCTATGAGAATTTTCGACGTGCCAAAAATGTAGCTCATCACACGAAACTTATCCTTGTATTTTTTCAATAGTCTTCTTAAACACTGAACAATTACTATTACTTAGCAACGTATCAAACATGCACATAGTATTCCTACAAGAATACTATCTTAATATTGTCAGTATCAATACTAAGCCATTCCTTCCCCTCAGAATGCAATGAATCATGGTTCTCCTCCCTATACATATTAGTGTTAGTGGTAATATGCAAAATTAATTTTGTTTCCCGGGTTAAATAACCAGATTGACTTCGCGTTTGGTGACCAGCTGTGTACCCTAATTTTTCATCTTTTACTTCTTACTCAATTTAACTACATTTTATAAGCCCTGAGATATTCATTAACCTGCTAATGATTGTATACTTTGAATTTATACTTTATTCCACTAATTTGAATCTCACATAAGTATTTAAATTATTTACAGATGGTTGTAACTAACACAATGACAAAATTTGCTACCTGTACAGCTGTATTGCTAGTAAGGCCTTTAACTAAGAATTGCATATTTTATGCACTTTTTTTTTTTACTTGCTGGAAGCAGTTCTTAAAATGACATCTCTAATTCTCTGTCAGCAACAAGTGCTTTTCATTTTGCTTACTTCTACACGGATAATCAGATTCATTTTTCTTCTTGTAAAACAATTTTTCTTCTGCCCCGAACATGTTAGCTGTTCAACTGAAAAGGTGCCAGAAGGAACTCAGAATTTGCACAGTACATCGATAACTATAACGCGAAGAGAGAAATATGCATATAATAGGAATTCAATAAATGTTAGCTTGACATGAAATGAGTGCATTGTAAGGCAGCTGTTCATGTCATGTACTTCTCATCATGAAGTTTGTTTCACCAGGGAATTCAAGTTACCAGATTTAATTGGTCCTCAAATGTAAATCTAAGAGTTTGAAACTTAAAACACCATTTTGACCATTCTCAGAAAAAGTAACAAGTCCGTGATGGTTGCTACTGTAATAATAGCTGGCATGGAAGAAGACAAATTATTTTCCAGTAAATTGGATGTACAACTAAGGAGAAGAAATCAAAAACTAAGAGGTGTTAGCTTATTATCATTTTCTCCACATTTATCTTTGCAGCATTTTTTTTTTTGTTCATATACTTATCCCTGCTAAGTTCTCTCACTGAAAGAGAATTTTATTATCTGAACAGTTTTCCCCATGTCCTTACATACAGGTTAGTGAAAAGCCGGTGTAAATATAAGATGGTATTTTCATGTCATGCCACATTTTTGGTTTTTGCCAACATTAAATTTTTCCTACTTAAATGATGCTGTGTAGAATATGAGCTAATCTGCCAACTTCCTATGAGATGGCTTGCTTAGAATATTCAGTTTTTATTAATAGCTTTTGAAGCATATTGCACGCTTGTCATCTAACACATTAATAAGTAACTATGACTCTTTTTAGAAAGAATACACTGACAAAATTCTCAATTTTAACGTCTTTGGCCAGACATTTTTAGTCTATCACAGGACAATAGCGATGGCAAAAACATTGACAATACAGTTCATGGTTCGGTTCTCCCATCTCACGGTACAGGTTCCTGAAACACACAAAACAAGGAGTAGGAAACATCAGCAAAATATTGAATATTACCAAAATATCTCATCAGTTTTACTATCTTATTTCCTGCAACTTGTTACATCTTCACATTCTCAATTTGTCTGAGGCGTGCTTACTCCTAGGTACATAGCAGTTCTGTTGACAGCCTTTTCAAAATTTAATTAGAGATAAATAAGCATTTGATAATAAGTGTACTGTGTGACTTTGCTAGAAGTTGGATTTTGTGTGAATCAGCTTAAGGTCTCTTACCATCAGAAGTAGTATCCCAGAAACAGGAACTGGCTGTGTGAAAGCCGTAAGCACTCCTTTGGACTAGTGCACAGGTCACTGAAAATAAAGTTGTGGAATGAGAACACTTCCAAGCAAAGGAAAAGATATCTGAGATCTGAGAGTCTGCGTTGACTTTTTCAAAGTGAAATTTTGTGTTAAAATAATAAAACGAAAGGTATAAAATAGAAAAGGCTCTACAAGCTGTAAAATAACGGAAAACAAACACTCGGTGAATAGATGAGAAAAAATAAGTCCTCTTGATTATCTACCACCACGATTTTGACTCCACTGGATCCAGCCTGTTGCCCACTGCCATACCACTGGTGATTGTACTGCAGGATAAACCTGGGCCCACCCGTGTGCCTCATTCCGTGGGCATAATCCAGACACAAAAATGAAGAAAAGATGACACTGTCTAAACAATTATTGTGCAGCCCTTCACAGAGCTACTGACAGGAAGATGGTGGGGCCGAGTGGGTTTAGCAGGAAAGGGGTAGCTGATGCCGCAAAGGACAAGTAGGTAGTTGCTTTTGAGTAGTGAAAGATCTCCATCTTTTAGGTATTGCCATGTATTATATCTTTGGATGCATAAGCCAGAAGCCCGTCACATCTGGGTAGAATCTAACTTGCAGGGCGCCTGGGTGGCTTAGTCGGTTAAGCGTCCGACTTTCGCTTAGGTCATGATCTCGCGGTTCGTGGGTTCGAGCCCCGCGTCGGGCTCTGTGCTGACTGCCAGCTCAGAGCCTGGAGCCTGTTTCAGTCTGTGTCTCCCTCTCTCTCTGACCCTCCCCTGCTCACACTGTCTCTCTCTCTCTCTCTCCTAGAAATAAATAAAACATAAAAAAATTAAAAAAAAAAAAAAAGAATCTAACTTGCGTACCATTCACTTACATGCTCTGAATTCAGAAAAGACCAAGAGGACAGAGAGGAATAGACCAGTGAGGAAGGACACTGATACTTACCGACGTATTTATAAGGTTTTCCCAGCTTAACCAAATGTGTTAAGGATTGTTCCACGATGCTTGCAGTCCACTGGTTGATGTTATTCTGGTTATAATCTTCACCTCCTAAGATCCCATCTATACACTAAAAGGGCAGAGGACAGTTAAAGACCTATACAAATCACGCAAAAGCTTATTCAAAATGTGAAAACATTTATAACCCCCCAAAGCATCTTAGAAAATATGTATCTGGTAAATATTTATTCACTGCCTCTGTTTTAGAATTTTCAATGTGTATTTCCTGCACGTAGTCTCTCACTCTGTGATATACCATGGGCCATATAAAGATAAAAATGACGTGGCCTCTGTTGTAAAGAGCTGGCCGAGAAGCTAACAGAAGAAATCTGTAACCCAAGAAAGACTAATCAAAGATGGTAAGTTGTCTCATGAAAGGATAATGGAGGGAAGTGGAGATGAAGAAAAGGGTGATATTAATTGGTTACAGAATGGCTTTGAAACAGTTGGGATTTGAAGTAGGTTTCCGATGCTAGAAACAAAGGATGAGGCCAATTTAAAAATAGAATTCTCATGTGTAATAATTACATTTATATCATGTAATTGACTTAGCTGTCAAGCTCGCACCTCCTGCCACTAAAAGTAAATCAACAAACGGCACTTTTCGGGTGCTCTAGAACCAGCCAGTTAAATAATTTCCTAGTGCTCACTCATGTCCACGTCTGGTATCTGGCTAAGAGCGCTGGTTTAGTATCACAAGCTTAGTTGCAAGGTCACTTCTGCCACCTAGTCACTGTGACCTTTTGCAAGTGACTTTAACCTCTTAGAGCCCCTATTTTCCTAATCCTTAAAGGAGAGATAACGGCCTCATCTTATCAGGTTGTTGTGAGGATGGGGTGAGAGCATGAATGTCAAGGGCTCAAGCACAGTGATTGACAGAGTAAGCACATACGCAGTGTTAGAGATCATCCTCATCAGTATTGCTGCTGTTACTTTATTTGTTCTGGCTTTACTAAGATGTAATTGACATATACCATTGTGCAGGTTCAGGGTGTCCGATGTGATGACTCGATACAGGCACATATTGTGAAATGATCACAATAAGGTTGTTAACATATCCCTCTCCCCCTGGAGTTCTCACTTTTTGCCCTCGAGGTGGAAACACTAAAGATCCATCTCAGCAACTTTCAAGCCTACAATACGGTACTGGTAACCGGAGTCCTCATGCTGTACTACAGAGTTCCAACACACGATTCTGAACTGTTCAAATAGGGCAGGATATTCAGGTGCCCGTCAAGCTGTCAGGCCTGGAGCTGATCCTCGCTGTACAAGGCCAGCTCTGGGTGAGTTCTGGGTGAGCTCGTGCCCTAGAACATGCAGACAGGTGAGGCGTTGTCCCGGCATGGACTGAGGAGGTGCTCAATGCTCAGAGGGCAAGCCAATCCGGCCCAGACTACGGGCAGGGAGGGCCTGTTAGGACACAGACCTACCCGCCATACCTACAGTACAAGGTCGCCTTCTGGGCTTTGGATTTGGCACAGTGAAAAATGACTCAGGACTATTAAAAGTGTTCATAAATACCTTACCCACCGTGTAGTCTGTATGCGATAGGACTAGAATGATTCAAGTTCCTCTGCCAAAACTGATTCCCAAGTAGAACTTCTTATGTATTTGCCTACTAGGAGGACCAGATTTCATGTTTCAAATAATTTTAAGATTTTGATTTAGCATCATCATATCCATGTCTAGAAGACGTTAAGTGATTATTTTTCAGTTATATTGGGCTAAAACATATTTCGGCAGTCTTTTGACATATATCACACAAATAACTTACCAATATAAAAGTGTGGGTGTGTGAGATCTACATACACACATCCTTGTATAGAATTAACATTTAAAATATTTGGCCTACTGGAATACAAGTTCTTCTATTCAAAAGACAGAACATCAGTTTTAGAAAGCAGCAGCCCAGTGTTCTAGACTAATTGTCCAACATCACTTTCAGAGTAAGCCCTCGGATGCCTGATAGCATACGACAAAACATAGAGGGACCCCTATAAAGAGCAAATAAATATTAAAAATTTTGTTTTGATACTAAGGTTTACAACTTTGTACTGGAAGTCAACAGAGCAAGCTTCACAATGAACAAGACGTGTTAACTCACCTCTTTAACAATATTGTGAGCTTCATCAGCATTGAAACCAACCTAAAGTGGGGAAGGGGGAAACAAAAGATACAGCTGCTTTCAACACAGACTTCCTTTTGTTTGTAGCTGTGATGACGCACAGAATACCCTAGGCTGGCCTGGACAGGTGTTAGTGACAGCAGACCATAGCGATGAGGGGTAACATCAGGTCTACGGAGGCTACTAATCCCACCTAGAACACTTCTAAAATTGCAGGATGTGTTCCTCACCTACTTCCCTCGAGATTTTGATTCATTAGGTCTGGGGCACAGCCCGGGCAACCATATTTTTTTAAGTGCTTTACTGGTGATTTTGATGAATGCCCTAGGATTGAGAATGTTTGCATTGTAAAGCTCAGGAAATGGCAGGAGGAGGAGATAAAGATGTATACACAGACATCAGTATCTAGGAAATGGCTACAGCAAAGTGAGAATGAGGTGGTCCATGAGAAGGGACTGATTAATAGTTTTCATTTTTTTTTTTAAACTTATGCTGGGCAACAATGTGGCTTTCCTGAATTAAAGATAATGAAAATGCTTGATCATTCTAAATTAATGATCCTTTAATACTGTAATAGGTCTGGCAACTTAATCTTTGCTGTGGAATGGCTTGACAGAATTCTGAGTTAAAAGCAACTATTAATGACATCCAAGTGTCCTAGAGTAGAGAACTAGGCTATGTGATAAGATTGTAATCTAAACCAAAACTCTTCAGGTTTGTTTCCTGAAGACATGGTTTGTTTCCATGGAGACAAGGTGCTTTATGACACGCCCATTTCTGTAAATCCCACTATGCAACTTAAAATTAGTTCAAAAAACCATTCTGGAAATAAGTATCGTCTCGAGTATAGATTTAAAATATTTTCTCTTTCTTTTTAGATTTAAAATCTTTTCAGGGGCGCCTGGGTGGCTCACAGTCAGTTAAGCATCCGACTTCAGCCTAGGTCATGATCTCACCATTCCCGAGTTCGAGCCCTGCGTGGGGCTCTGTGCTGACAGCTAGCTCAGAGCCTGGAGCCTGTTTCAGACTCTCTCTCTCTCTCTCTCTCTTTCTGTCCCTCCCCACTCAAACTCTGTCTGTATCTCTCAAAAATAAACATTAAACATTTAAAAAAAAAAATCTTTTCAAGTCAGTTCATTACACCACAGAATTCCCCAACAACAAAGGAATAAATATCCTAAACAATTAGGATTATGAAAACAGCTCTCAGGTTTTGACCCCATGAAAATGATCATTTTATCTTAAAATAAGGTCACTATCAATTTTCAAAAGTGGCCTACAAATTAAATGATGTCCTTTTCACTTCAGTTTGGAAAGTCACCAAATAATCAGGTAGTCCTGGGTACCACGGTAACACATGTAATTGTATTTCTCTGTCTATATATCGAGGAAGTGCAGCAGTACAGAACCCTCTTGGGAAGCAGGAGACTAGCACCTATTGGGGAATATGTCTGAGAGTGAAACTGCTTGTGCCTCAATTTCTAAAGTAAGAATACTTTCCCACTAACCTGCGTCACAGAATGGATGGATTTAAGTATGGTTGTAACTTCTGCACAACCCCACATCCTAAAGACGGACGGACCAGAAGCCCCTTCCACGGGTCTAATAACACACTATTTTCTGTGGCACGTCCTCCAGGTGCCTGCTTTTATTTCGCTGCATCATTCACCTGTGGCTACCACGGGACAGGAAATGTCTGTGGAAATGTCTGTCTATTCTGCCCTTCAGACTGGTCACAGGTTATGCTGGGATCCAAAAGGCCTCATCCACCTAGTGGTTAAGCGAAGCCAGAGGCGTCGGTGTGTGGTCAGAGGCCTGGGTTCAAACGGAGCATCTGTCATTCCTGGCAGTTTTCACTTAGGGCAAACCACTTAGCCGCCATGAAAGTCAGAGTCCCCATCAGTAACAGGAAGGTAACAGCACACATCATGGAGTTCCGGTGAGATGCGGGGAAGCCCGAGTCAGCAAGCAAGGGATCCTAATCCACGAAGCACCTCCTTCCGGCCCACCCACGCGAGGGAGCCGGGCGCGGGGGGCGGGGGGGGGGGCTGTGCCACCAGGGCCTCGCTCGCGAGGCTGCGGCGCCTGCGTTGGGGACGCCAAGGGGCAGAGGAAGCCGCCGGGCAGACCGGTTTCTAAGGCCCGTCTCGCAGACGCGCGGCGCCCGACACCCCATCCCCGCCCCCACGCACCCCGAGTCCGGCCTTCCACCCCTTGGCCCGGATTCCCCCGCCCGCCCCGCGCGCTCCGCCCAGTCGCCCCTGCCACCCTGAATCTCAGCCCACCCTCAGGACCTCGGGGGCGCAGGCCGAGCCTGGCGGGGCGGGTCCCGGCCCTGAGGGGAGGACCCGGGCTCGGAGGGCGCCGCACCCCAACTCTCGTGGGCCGCCCGGCGCCGGGAGACCACCTGGCGGAGACTCGGCGCCGAGGCGGGCGGGGGCGGGGGTCGCTCGCGGGCGGCCGAGGGGCGGTACCTCGTCACAGTGGCGGTGGTACTCCTCCATGGTGTCTCGTCCTCTCCAGGGGGGCGGAGCGCTGGGCGGGCGGGGCTCCGCGGCCTCGCGCCGGCCTCCGAGGAAGCTCCGCCCCCATCCAAATAGCGGGGCGGCCCCCATGAAGCCCCGCCTTTGTGTAGCTCCCCTTGGAGCTTGGGCCGAGTTCCGCGCTATGGGAGGCTTCTGCCGCTTGCCTCTGTCGCTTGCCTGCGACCTCTCTGGAAACAAGGGATGGGTGGTAAACAGCTGGGAACTGTGATAGCGTGGGTCCTATGAGGTGACCTAGTGTCGGTCTGGAGTCCCCAGGTTGAGTGCCCACCGCTGTGTTTGTGTGCCCGTATTCATCATCATCTGCCCAATAATGGTAGGTGATGTAAGAATGGGCAAGCCACCTTGATTTGTCCACTTACTAGCTCCGTTGCTTGGGTGACTTGACCTCCCACAGCCTCTTGTGAAAACTTAAATTTATATCTGTTTCACGGTTGATTGTGAGGATCAAATGAAACGCTCTATACATGACTCCTACAAGTAAATGTTCCTACACTCGTCCTCTTCAATGACTATGTGAAAAGAAATATTTGATTTATAGGACACAGGGTACAAATATCCTAACTTAAATTGTAAAATTTAGCGGAACAATGATTACATTTATCTGATAGTTACTAAGTCCCAGGTGATCCTAAGGATTTCCTCATTTAAACTTATAATAACCCAGCAGGTTTGTTTCTGGCACCATCATCCCATTCTTCTTTTTCTTTTTCTTTTTTTGACTGTTTATTTATTCTTGTAGGAGAGAGAGACAGAGTGTGAGTGGGGGAGAAGCAGAGAAAAAGGGAGACAGAGAATCCGAAGCAAGCTCCAGGCTCTGAGCTGTCAGCACAGAGTTGGATGCGGGGCTCGAACTCACAAACCCACGACCTGAGCCGAAGTCCGTGGACCCAGGCGCCCCTCCATCATCCCATTTTCTTCAAGAACAAACTAAGGTACAGGGAGTTTTAGTAATTTGCCAAAGTTCACGTATCCAGTAAGTAATAGAAGGATTTAAACTCAAGTAGTCTGATAGCAGCAGGCAAGTTCTTCACCTAAATTAGTTTCCTTTTGCTTCTATAACAAATTACCATAAACTTAGTGGCTTAAAACAGCACAAACTTACTGCTTTACAGTGCTGGAGGTCAGAAGTCTAAAATGGATCTGCAAGACTATGTTCCTTCTAGAAGCTCTAGGGCAGGATCCATTTACTTGCTTTTTGCAGCTGCTAGAAGCTGCCTGCATTCCTTGGCTCATGACCCCTTCCTCCATCTTTAAAGCTGGCAGTTTAGCATCTTTTCTCCTCTCTGACCTCTATTTCCATCCACCTACCTTCTCCTTCTGTCTCCCTCTCAAGGCCTTAACTTAATCCTATCTGCAAAAGTGCCTTTTGCTACATGAGGTAACATAGTCACAGATTCCAGGGATTCAGATGTGGGCATCTTTTGAGGGGCAGGGTGGGAGAGTGGACACATTACTGAGCTCACCTCAACCACTATTCCATTTTACCAGCCAAAATCAAAGCTGGAAGGTTCATTAGTATTCTAGTCCAACTCTCTTACTTTACCAGTAAAATTGGAGCTCAGAGAGGTGGAAGTAACTTGGACAAGAGCACATAGGTAGGTATTAACTGGACCCCGGGGCTTCCATTCTCTGCTCTCGTTTTATGAGCTGGGCTGCACCAAACGGGCCTGTTTACTTGATAATACGCAGTTTGTTACTGGCTCTCCTAAATTGTGGGTCATGTCAAAGTTGCTACAGAAAAGCTGCATTTGTAATTCACAAAGGAGGAAGACTAGTTCTCCTTTTTCAGGGTATTTTATGTAACAAAGTTATTATACCGATGTTATTGCAATATAGTGACAGATGATGCCTACTTGTTTTGAGGCCGATGGTCCTTCAATTTCAAACCACAGAGAAAACAGCTAACTCCCATAAGAAAACTTTTCTAGAATTAGTATTTATTTCACTTCAAAACTATCTGTCTTTGAGGACCAGAGTTCATTTTTCAAGTTTTGAGGTACCACTTCGGGAATGAAAACTTCTGTATTCTTGAGTAAGACACTTAAAATCACAGTTATTAATGCTCTCACGAGTAGCCCACCGTATGTTATGTAAACATTGATGGAACTCTCCAACTTGTAATGCTGGCCCTGCTTTGCTACGGGTTCCATTTCAAGCGTCTGCTTGGACATCCCACAATGCATAGCACAGTGCCCCACATCAAAACTTATTTTACACAAACTAATAGTGTTGAAGTTGAGCAACCCTGTGTTCAATGGGGGTGAGAACGGAGACAGGAAAAATTCTCTGTCTCTATGGCATGTATATACGTTTTTTACGTATATTTGCATACCTGTGTACAGGATGTCAGGTAGCTATAAGCATTGCAAAGATGATTTAAGTAAAGTCAGGGAATAAAGTATGATGCGGGAGAGGCTATTTTGGGTGAGGTGGTAAGAGAAGGCTCCTCTGAAAAAAATGTTTAAGCAACCGTTTGAATGATGTAAAGAAGTTAGACGGGAACTTGAAAGTTAGATGAGGGAGGAAGGGAATGGTCCTAATTTCAAAGTGAAACCAGTTGTGGAGGCTGTGGACTCTAGCTACATTCAGCCCTCGGGAGCGTGAGCAGAAGAGGTAGGATTAACCAGGGTTGGGGGCTTTCCAGGTGATTTTAACTGAGGAAGAGAGGCTCATGGGGTTTGAATGCATTTTCCGAGGAGGGTCTGTGCTAACGGATCACGGATTCCAAGTTGGGTAAGTAGCAATGAACAGTGAAAAAGCAACGGGGTCATTGCGTTCAGGGTCCAAATGGGGTCAGAGAATTGCTGCGGTGAGGATTTTAGAAGTGAGACGGGAAGAGAGTGAGGGTCAGAAAGTTGGATGATTGAAAAGAAAATATATTTGAGGCCAAGATTTACGAAGCCAGAAGGATCCTCTCCTACTTGGTGCCTCCTTTATATCCCATTGTGGGCATGGAGGCCGGGCCAGGCGGGGGTGGGGAGACTAAGTTGCTTGGAGGACATGAAGCTTTGTATTGGTGTCACAGTGGGGGGGCAGTGTGTTTATCAGCTTCTCTGGCTTTTCATTTTCATTTGATGTCTTCCTTTGGCTTTTTGGTATTTGATGTGGTCTCAGGGGACATGAGTGAAGAGAGTAGCTGAGTACAAAGCCCAGCATACTGTACCATGATTAGCACCAGGAAAGAACGACTTCCCTTTACAGATTAGTGCCTTTCCTGCAGACTTCTAGATTCTACATGAGATATCTAGCTTATGTTCTTTCCTCTATTTCCTGTCCTTGTCGGTGCCGTGAATTTTTATTGTGATTTAGTACTTGTTCGTGTAGCTAAAGGTGAAATTACATTCACATCTCTGGTATGCTCTGCTTGTTCCATGGTCGCGGGACAGCAGTGAGAACGTTTTGGGATGAGAAGGTTTAGAGGACCCATTTATTTGTGTGTTTTGATCCCTCCTCTTGCCATTTCTGGCGAAGGTGGTAAGTTTTGAGCCATTTGTTGAGCTAAAATTTTTACTTCTGTCATGGGCAACCCATGCCCCATCTCAGGCACAAATTACAAACTTGAAGCAAATCTCAGGACACAGAATATTTCCTTACATCACAGAGGGCAAAAGAAGTTTCTTATTTAGTGTCTCCCTCTTTGAGTGGAAATGCTGACCTTTTGATTCAGGGTACAGAATCTGACCCTATTGTCTATTATAGTGCTTTATCGCCTTGAAGGGAAACATAAGCTGGTTAAGAAATAAATGTAGTTCATGAGTCAGTTCTGTACTGATTCACAGAAAGAACAGGTGCAAGGAAACCTATTAAGTCTCACCCAGCTCTTAATTTCTGTGATTCTTCTAAACCATGTCTCATAAAGGACATTTCTTGATGATTTTGAAGAGCTGAAATAAGGTATTTAAAGCATCAAAATGCCTTCATTAAGTTTAGTCATTTTGCTCTTCAAAAATCTGCATCCTTATCAGAGGAAATAATTCATTGTTCAGGTCTGTATGCTAATGAAGCTCTTCATAGTCAAAGCACATTATAAATATTTATTCATAGACCAGATGAGAACCTTTAAAGTGGTTAATTTTAAAGCAAAGCCACTTTTGTACAGGGAGAACATAACATTGAATATGAACAGAATGAGCATTTGTGCCGTGGTTTCCACATAATAAAGCATTTGCTAAGCACTAACGCTAATCGTGTATGTTTATTCAACACATGATCCATCCCCGGTTTTCAAGCGCATAATCAAATATAAACATATATAGATTGACCTCAGATGACACCAAGGGATTGTACGTGTACTGTATTTCTCATGGTAACAATCATCATATACCGTCCTCCTTAGGTAAAAATATGGATGATACAGATGTTGAACAATGTGCTGAGGCAGTATGACTAAACACCTTCTCTATTCCTCTATTCCAAGGTGTAAACATTGGGGTTCATGGGCGCCTGGGTGGCTCAGTCAGTTAAGCATCCAACTCTTGATTTTGGCTCAGTTCATAGTCTCATGCTTTGTGAGATCAAGCCCCAGGTCAGAGCCTGCCTGGGATTCTTTCTCTCTGTCTCTCTCTCTCTGCCCCTCCCCTCTCAAAATAAATAAATAAACTTGAGAAAACTAGGGCTCAGCACTGATGGAAATATTTAAGGCTCAACTGTCTCTTTCCAGACACAGAGCAGGGCATGGAGAACAATAAAAACTGTTTAGGAAGGGTTTTCTGCCCACTAGGTCTTACCTCTGTTTCACCCCTAGTTAATGTTTGATGGATTGGGGGATTCAGAGCCTGGAGACTGCCAGTCATTATGGTGAGGACATCAGGTGCAAGTGGCAGGAATTTGTTCAGATGTGAAGAAGGCCCTCACTGGGGGCTTTGCACTAGGGACATCTCTCTCGGAGTCATTTTGGAGTTTGGTTTTTGGCTATTTGTTTTAGGAGCCATCACAAAGTGAACAAAGCTATGGTTTTCTTTGATTCTTTGTTGGCTAAATATTTGACATTCGTTGTTGTTGTTTTTAAACATTTGACATTTGAATTGACCCGACTCACTTGCCTTTTTTTCCTACCTAAATCCAGGCTGATAGAAAATGTCCCTCAGCGAAGTAACTGGGGCCTCCCTAACTCTTTGGATCTACCCACAGTGGGGTTTTCACAGCAGCAGAGGAAACCTGTGAGAATTGTCTGATGTGCTCAGCTCTGGTTCTCCACCAAAGCTACTACAAACATTCTCTCATTCTCCAGCCCTGTGACTCCAGAACTTTCCCATCACTATCTGCATTTTGCTTCCCACTTCACTGAGA